TTACAAAGAGCTCTTATCTTCTGAGAATGCGCCATCTTTTTCTCTGGATAATTATTTATTACATCTAGCTTGGTTCCTACATTTTGTTAGCTCTCAACATTGGCTCAAGAATGCTGTTAATATTTATTCTGTATTGATAAAAAGTCTGTCTTGCCACTATGAGTAAGTCTCCCAATTAATATTTTCTTCTCTAGCATAGCATTGTCATTTTTTTGTGTGAAAATGGTTATCTGTTTATTTATTACAATATTGAAGTCATATATAAATTTTCAATAAAAGCAGAAACTTTCTTACCTTAAACACTCTGCTACTTCCTTGCAATGAGAATAACACTGGTTTGAAGAGAAGCTTGTGTATCTGTAAGACTTCATGTGGAAAAAAAATGGTCCTTCTGAACACAGGGCAAGGATACACCATCCTGGAGGGGCCCTGCTGACACAGGAACTGGATTTGAAAAGCAATTAGTCATATTTTCTTAAGCAGTATAAACTATCATCTTATGTAAAGGGTCATCTCTGTTAAAGATTTGCGGAAATTTTTTATTCCACAGCACTGAAAAAAAGCTAATATCTTGATGAATTTCCCACGTTATAATTTTAAATTGTTATAATTTTGCACTCCTGTGAACTATGACTTCTGATAACTGGCAAGTCTGTAGGTGCTGAAGTGAAAGGAAGAGAGTTATTGTTGGAGGGGAGTGAGTGCATGCAGGTGTGTGTGTGTGTGTGTGTGTGTGTGTGTGTGTGTGTGTGAGAGAGAGAGAGAGAGAGAGAGAGAGAGAGAGAGAGAGAGATGAGAGAAAAGGAACTTTTAACAAGAAGTTCTAGGCAACAGAAATTGGCGATTTTATGGTAGTTTCCCATTACTCCTCTAGAGAGGTGTCCAAAACAAAGAAGGCTAATTCAACAAGTCTGGAGACAGAGAACAGTCCACTAGCATTTATACTTTTGCCTCGATCACACATACATATATGCACACATACATATACACACAAGTATGTATACATGCACACATACACATAAATTACGTTCAAAAGCATGCAGCCACCTTCAGTTGCCAGTCTTTAAAAATGATAAAAACTTGCTACGGTAGTTTCTTCATGATAAGGATTTTAACAAGTTATTGAAAAGTTATCGGAACTCAATGAAATCTGGTAATTGTGCTCTTCATTCGAGCAGGAGAACAGAGCGAGCAGCCGCTCTCTCGGGGAGGCTCTCAGAAGCCCGCTCTAAGCCCTGGGAAGCCGGCAGACGCAAATCGCCGGCCCGAAGCAGCCTGAGGTTGGGGCGATCAGCGTCACCCACCCCATTGACGCTGGATTCGGGGAACCTTCCCTTCCGAAAGCCTCCCAGAGAGCCGGCTCCCCCAGCCGCTTCCGACCTACCAAGCCCCAGATTCGCTGCCCCTGTCCCTGCTCCTACTGCCCCAGGCCCGCGCCTCGCGGGTTTTCCTTTGGGCTGCTTCGTGGCGCCCGCACGCCCCGCAGTGG